GAAGTCCTCAGGATGAGAGACGAAACGTTTCTATATTTTTTTGCTTTGTTTTGTTTTTTTGAATGTCCAGAGGACCAGATTGAACTTTTTTGGATTTTTCTACCTGGATTATTGAGCATGCGTCAGGAAATACTTTAAACATTTTGAACACATTTAGGATACATAAAACTGAAAGCATGTAAGTTAATTATCATAAGGTACTTTAACCCTTCAGTGCCAAGAGCTCCCATTAGAACCAAAAATATGTTTATGTGTCTACGTAAAGTGTATATGTAATATGATGTTAGGCACAATGCAGTATATAGGCATGCACAATATATATATCAATTAACTTATCATCTAACATATGCACCTTATACAAACCGGATTCCAAAAAAGTTGGGACACTAAACAAATTGTGAATAAAAACTGAATGCAATGATGTGGAGAGGGCAAATGTCAATATTTTATTCGTAATATAACATAGATGACAGATCAAACGTTTAATCTGAGTAAATGTAACAATTTAAAAGAAAAATATGTTGATTCAAAATTTCACAGTGTCAACAAATCCCAAAAAAGTTGGGACAAGTAGCAATAAGTGGCTGGAGAAAGGAAACTGAGCATATAACGAACAGCTGGAAGATCAATTAACACTAATTAGGTCAATTGACAACATGATTGGGTATAAAAAGAACTTCTCAGAGTGTCAGTGTCTCTCAGAAGCCAAGATAGTAAGTGGATCACCAATTCCACCATTGTTGTGCAGAAAGATAGTGCAGCAATACCAGAATGGTGTTACCCAGCGTAAAATAGCAAAGACTTTTAAGTTATCATCATCAACCGTGCATAACATCATCAAAAGATTCAGAGAATCTGGAACGATCGCTGTGCGTAAGGGTCAAGGCCGTAAAACTCTACTGGATGCTCGTGATCTCCGGGCCCTTAAACGTCACTGCACCTCAAACAGGAATGCCACTGTCAAGAAAATAACAGAATGGGCTCAGGAATACTTCCAGAAAGCATTGTCAGTGAACACAATCCACTGTGCCATCCGCCGTTGCCAGCTGAAACTCTACAGTGCAAAGAGGAAGCCATTTCTAAGCAAGCTCCACAAGCTCAGACGTTTGCACTGGGCCAGGGGTCATTTAAAATGGAGTGTGGCAAAATGGAAGGCTGTTCTGTGGTCAGATGAGTCACGATTTGAAGTTCTTTATGGAACACTGGGACGCCATGTCATCCGGACCAGAGAGGACAAGGATAGCCCAAGTTGTCATCAACGTTCCGTTCAGAAGCCTGCATCACTGATGGTATGGGGTTGCATGAGCGCTTGTGGCATGGGCAGCTTGCATGTCTGGAAAGGCACCATTAATGCAGAGAACTATGTTCAGGTTCTAGAACAACATATGCTCCCATCTAGACGTCATCTCTTTCAGGGAAGACCCTTCATTTTTCAACACGATAATTCCAGACCACATTCTGCAGCAATCACAACATCATGGCTACGTAGGAGAAGGATCCGGGTACTGAAATGGCCAGCCTGCAGTCCAGATCTTTCACCTATAGAGAACATTTGGTGTATCATAAAGAGGAAGGTGCGACAAAGAAGGCCCAAGACGACTGAACAGTTATGCCCCTTTTCCACCGTCACGGCGCGGGTCGGATATTTCCGACTTGACGGGCGTTTGAGGTCTTTCCACTGTTCCTGTGACCGGCTCGCCTCCCTAAATTCTGGCCCGGCTTCTCAAGAGGTCCAAGCGAGCCGCGCCGTGACGTCAGAAACACTGTCGGTCACTGATTGGTTGGGGGGAGGAGTCTGTGGAGTCTTTCCAAACAACCCGATCCACCATTTTTTCTCTACCGCTTGCCATTAGCGATAACTCGAGGAGCGTATCTTTTAGTATTTTGAAGCTATACAACAACAATAATGTCAAAGCCGTGGTCAAATGCAGAAGTGCAGGTGGTGTTGTGCTTGGTGGCCGAAGAAAAAAGTCAAAGCGAGCTAGATGGAGGATTGGAGGGTGGTTTGGACACGACCACTGCTCTACTTGAATCATTTATAGAAGATGGTGAGTGTTTTCTAACTTTAAACATATTTTAAGTTACTCATCCCATCGGTTCTGAACGTTTTTAACTAACAAAAGAGGCTGACGCCATAATAGGACAACATCGGTGCTACGATGCTAAGCTAATTTGCATAAATGCTAACTGTCCTCCGGTCCCGTTTCTCACTGTATTTTATCCAGAACGTATTTCAGTGCGTGACGGTTCGTCTCTAAACTCCACATTAAACCCTCCAAGCCTCCCGGCTCCTGCTCCTGCTCCATCAGTGGAGTCTACACCTGACAGAGCTCCATCAGAGGAGTCTGCACCTGACAGAGCTCCATCACAGCCCACCTGCACCTCACAGAGCAGCACAACGCTGCAGCTTCTGTGCTCGGTAAGAACAGATGCAACATGTTCCACATCACTTTATTTGTGCCGATAAGGACTTGATTTATTTTATTTTTAAAGTAAAAAAATAATAATATGTTGAATAAATACTGAATTGGGATGAAATTATGTTCACAGGGTCCCAGTTACAGACAACAAAATGTAAAATAAAAACAGTAATAAGATCTAAGATAGGAAATAAGAAAAATATCAACTAAAAAACATCTACTAATAAAACACTAAGCACTAATAGCAGTAAACAATCAAAACAATACGTCAAACAGCAACATGAACTTGAGTTTGTGCAGCCTTATGAAGATCTAACCAGGATAATCATGTTGCTGCTGATCTGTTTCATGTTGCTGCTGATGTTTCATGTTGCTGCTGGTCTGTTTCATGCTGCTGCTGATCTGTTTCATGTTGCTGCTGGTCTGTTTCATGCTGCTGCTGATCTGTTTCATGTTGCTGCTGGTCTGTTTCATGCTGCTGCTGATCTGTTTCATGTTGCTGCTGATCAGTTTCATGTTGCTGCTGATCTGTTTCATGTTGCTGTGTTCATTCGTGCTCGTCTGCTCACACAGACTCATGTCTGTGCTGCTGTTCTGCGTATTGTGTTTAATGTTTTTATGCTATTAGTGCTTATCATATTTTTAGTTGATGTTTTTCTTAGTTCATATCTTAGATGTTATTACTGTTTTTATTTTACATTTTATTGTTGGATGTAACTGGGACCCTGTGTACATAATTTTGATCCACCACATGGACCACATGAGGTGCGAATGACAATAAAGAATATCTGTATCTGTATAATACTTTCTGATTCATATATCCATTATTATCATTTTCATTATTTTTAAATCAATTTATTTTTCATTTTCTTATTTGATCAGTTTCTTATTATTAATATATCTGTTATAGCTGTTAGCAGCACCTTTCTTTGTTTGATGCATTTATTCAAAAACAGTATGTAGCTTGAATTAACCACCTGTTTCTTCTTTCTGGTGAAGAGAAAGAGAAAAGAGTCCAGTAAAGAAAAGTCTTCTTTCATCACTGAATGAACATGAAGAACTGAAGCGGACACAGCAGGAACAACACTTGTGTCTTCTTCTGGATGAAGCCCGTGAGACGAGGGACACACAGATACACAATCATTAGTTGGACGCTGTAGTTTTTATTTTTCTACATTTTTCACTTCTTTTACTATTAAACAATTTTTTTTCTTAAGTGGTGTCCTTGAACATTAAATTTACTAAACAAATTTTACAATGTTAAGTGCAGATAGTGTTTGTTTAAATTCATACTGGAAGTTGAGAAGAATTTCCAGTTGCATTTGATCTTTAATGAATCCTAAGAAAAGATTACTAGAATCTGCTCAACTGTTATTATGTTATAAATGTTTTGTTCTAGGATGAAGTGAGACAAAAACAGTCAAAAATTCAGAAAGGACAGTTATTAGTGATCATTTATCAATTATCAGTTATCATTTATCAGTTATCATTTATCAGTTATCAGTTATCGTCCGTACAACTGTGGCCTGAGAGATTCATCTGAAAGTCCTGGTGCACCTTTTATTTGAACCTGCAGAGATTTGAACAGCTGATCTGAAGCAAACAGGCAGGAGTTCACCTGAACTGACCACTCCTGCTGTTTGATGGTCTCCTCCTTCACCATCCATCCATCCATCCATCCATCCATCCATCCATCCATCCATCCATCCATCCATCATCTTCTGCTTCAGGGTTGTGGGAGCAGCATCTTCACCAGGGAGGCACAGACATCAACAGCCTCCTCTTCAACTCTTCTAGGACCCCATGGTGTTCACAGACCAACTATTTATTAATTAATATCCTGATGCTGCTCAATAATCCAGGTAGAAAAATCTAAAAAGTTAAGTCTGGTCCTCTGGACATTCACAAAACAAACAATACAGTTTATAATAAATAAACAATAAATGTTTTTTGTTTGTTTGTTTTGTTTTTTGAATGTCCAGAGGACCAGACTTAACTTTTTTAGATTAATAAGTAATAAATTTGTTTTAATTTAATGAAAGACAAACATTTAAAATTTAAGTACAAAATTTAACCTAATTGTTTTCAAGTCTGTATCTTATTGTAAAATCAGTTTCAAAGATTACAGCACAGTGTGATGTTTTGTAATTTAACATGAACCTTGTGCATATCTGTAAATAATAAAAGTGAAGATATTTTTAATACATCTTTATTGTAAAAATCTATACTAAAATGTAAAACACATGGGTTTAAAGCAGCAGGAAGGCAGTAAGGTAGGATTATGAATCAGGTTTAAAAGTTACAGCTCATGAGGTACTCCATTAGAGCATGACATCTCTTCCACAACATCCTGTGACAAAGTCTTCAGGGTGTTCTTCTTCTAATACGTTTAGTGGTGGCTAGTAAGTAGCTTAAGGGAGCACTACCGCCACCAGGTGGTAAGACCAGTTGGATTCTAGTCCCCGCCTACAGAGCCGGTCCAGAAGTGTAAATGGAAACAACGAGACACGAGCCGATCTGAACCAACCCGAACTGACCTGATCCGCTCTGTGACGGTGGAAAAGGGGCATTAGAGGCCTGTATTAGACATGACTGGGAGAGCATTCCTATTTCTAAACTGGAGAAACTGGTCTCCTCTGTCCCCAGACGTCTGTTGAGTGTTGTAAGAAGAAGGGGGGATGCCACACAGTGGGGAAAAATGGACTGGTCACATCTTTTTTGGGATTTGTTGACGCCATGAAATTTGGAAACAACAGATTTTTCCCTTAAAATGAAACATTCTCTCAGTTTAAACTTTTCATCTGTGATTTGTGTTCTTTTCTGAATAAAATATTAGATGTTGGCACCTCCACATCATTGCATTCACTTTTTATACACAACTTGTTTAGTGTCCCAACTTTTTTGGAATCCGGTTTGTACATCATCTAACATGCACGCAGCATGCTACATACACACTTTACAGACACATCAACATATTGTGGCACTAATGGCACCTCATACGGTGCCTCTTCTGTAATGAAGTTTCTAAACTCAAGGAGAAACATTAGCAGCTTTATCCGACGTAGACAAACATTTCTGAGTAATCCAACATTTTCAGGCAGCTCATCTGGACAGTTAGGTTTTTTGCTGAAATGTTTCACCTTCCATCCAGAAGGCTTCATCAGTCAAGGAAACGACAACAAAACTGATTCTTCCCCCAAACAGCTTACTCCAAAGTGGAATAAACCAGTTTTGTTGGCTGACTGAAAATTGTAGGCTTGTATACCTGGATTATTGAGCATGGACTTTGTTGATTTCTGAGTAATGCTTTTTCTTTTTCAGGCGCTGCTCCTCTCATGCTAACCATGTTCAAGTCCAAGAAATACTTGCAGTAATAGTGTGCTAGTACATGTGGTAGGTTTCTAAGACAAGGTGAAACAGTGTAGGATAGAAGCACTGACTGAAACACTCCATCACAGATGTGCGAGTGTTTGTTAGTGAGTCCACACTGTCAACATAAATAAATACATTGTGCTGTTAGCCTGCGTTAGCTTGTAGCTACATCTGTCACTCACCGACCTGACGTCGCGGAACACTTTCTTCTTCTGTGATTTAACGAAACCTCCTCGCCTGATCCAACATGTATGTCCCCATCAGCTAGTCCATGTCAATGTTGTCACCGGTACCTCCAGATATTTTTAATTATTTTCGACTGTGCACCGTCCGTCTACGTGTTTATCTTTGGCTTGTTACTAGCGAGCCACGTCACTTCCGGTTGGTGCGGTAAATTGACGCAAGAGTAAAGCTGTGCGTCCCCGACAAGACTGCGGTTTTAAATATAACAATTATAATAAAACCAGACATAAATAACAAAGAATAATTGTTGTCTAATAACTAATGGTTACTTATAATTCATAGGCAAGTGTCATTAACCGTGTTTTAAGGTATTGTACTTTTTTAATGTCACATTTTACATGTTTTACGGTAAACATAAACGTGGACCAATGGGAAGTTTCCATGACTGACTGTCATTCACACAAGATCCCGCATTGTCTGCTGGGAAGTAGGCAATATGTCCGCCATCTTGGAGAGGTCGTCCTTCATATTTGGTTAAAGCAGAAGATGTCTCAGCACTTCGCAGCTTATTTCTGTTCTAATCGACGGACTGTTGACGTCAGGTCTCGGGGGATAACTTTTCACAGTAAGATGAACATATTATTGTTAGTATTTTGTGAATATAATATTACTGTACTGTATTTATGTCCACCAGCTGATGTCAGACTCAGAGTTTCTTTATTGTCATTCGCACCTCATGTGGTACATGTGGTGGAGCGAAATTATGTCCACAGGGTCCCAGTTACATCCAACAATAAAATGTACAAGAAAAACAGTAAAAACATCTAAGATATGAACTAAGAAAAACATCAACTAAATCAATCAACCTTTATTTCTACAGGTAAATCCCATTGAGCCTCGAGGACTCATTTACAAGAGAGACCTGATTTCAACAAAGAAAGATGACAACAATGGACAACAGCAACAACAATAAGCAGTTATAAAAACTCATACTACAGTTTTTTTTTTTTTTTAACAAATAGGATGGCTAAAAGGAAAAAGGTAACAAAACAAAAAACAGCTAGATTCCAAGACAAATGTAGAAAACTAAAAACAGGAACATGTCTGCATTGGACCCTGCCAGGAGTCCAACAGATTCTTAAAGACACTTAGAGAGGTCAAAGGTCGAGAGCTTCAAATCTACACTAAGCACTCATAACATAAAACATTGAACATCAGCACAAACATGAACATGAGTCTGTGAGCAGATGTGCACGCATGAACACATCAACACTGAAACAGATCAGCAGCAACATGAAACAGATCAGCAGCAACATGAAACAGATCAGCAGCAACATGAAAGTGTCTTCATGGACGATGTGTGTGAGGGTGGACATGTTTGGAGGTTGCTGTGTTGAAGCTCCATGGATCAGCCTCTCTGCAGCTCTCAGCACCTTCACTGAGCTGCTCTTGTTCTTCACAGGTAGAAGGTGGGAGCTCTCGTCAAATCATCATCTCCAGCATCATCTTGTTCATGCCAGGCTTTTCATCCACTGACCACACACACCTGCAAACATCAGGGGACCAGTTTAACACATCTGGAAGGAAACCAGTGAGATTTTAATACGACCAGTATGATATGATGTCATGTGGGGGAGTGGTGGAGCAGAGGTTACAAGATGGGCCTGTGATGGGAATGTCACAGGTTCAACTCCCGGTACTGTCAACATCAAAATGAGGTGGAAAAGGTGAAACACCCACACCTGCCTCCACCCTCATTGGCCCCACCCTGGTCCTCTGAGCAAGGCACTCAACCCCCACCACCTGCTCCTAAACAGGTCTCTCTTTAAAATGAGTTCTCGTGACTCAGTGAGTCGACCTGGATAAATAAAGATCAATGAAAAATAAAGTTTAAAATAGAAATACATCATGAGGCCCAGGTTGTGTGCGTGTGACGTGCACGTTCCTGAGTGTGTGTGTGTGACGTGCACGTTCCTGAGGTTGTGTGTGTGACGTGCACGTTCCTGAGGTTGTGTGTGTGACGTGCACGTTCCTGAGTGTGTGTGTGACGTGCACGTTCCTGAGCATGTGTGTGTGGCGTGCACGTTCCTGAGAGTGTGTGTGTGACGTGCACGTTCCTGAGGTTGTGTGTGTGACGTGCACGTTCCTGAGGTTGTGTGGGACGTGCACACTCCTGAGGTTGTGTGTGTGGCGTGCACGTTCCTGAGCGTGCACAGACAGAGCAGCTGCAGCTTTTGTTCACTTCCTGTAGTCCTGCAGTTTTCAAGCTGAAATGAAAAAGCATCATGAAAATGAACTTTACAGTCTCTAGTTACCTGTTCATAGAAACACATGGAGGTGTCTCACCTTGTGACTCACAATAAAATATGTAACTTTATGAACTCTAATGAACTTATAATGATGCTCCTACTCTCTTAAGGTGAACCCATGGTACCACACCATCTCTCTGTCGGACAGTCTGACCAGTTTGATCAGAATCCTCCAGTTTAAAATCCTCACTGCTCAGATGAATCCTCCTCAAAGATACTTCCTCCTCTTCCTCACATCTTGTTCTTTGGGAAACCTTCAAAATGAAAACAGGACATTTGTGTCTACACAAAAACATTGTACAGAGGAGGTCAATCTTATTTTCTATTTCCTATATTCTCCCCAGTTTTATTTTTTAATTTTTTAGAACTTAAACAAAACTCCAGTTTTGATGCATATCTGTTGAAAATGAACCAAAGCTGCTGAAATAGTGAGTATGATTGTTAGCAAAATATTCCTGTCATCAGATCTCAGTCAGCTTCATTGCAGCTGAACACCGTGTTACACTGAACATCACATCAGCTGGTGGACATAAATACAGTACAGTAATATTATATTCACAAAATACTAACAGTAATATGTTCATCTTACTTGTGAAAAGTTATCCCCCGAGACCTGACGTCAACAGTCCGTCGATCTGAACAGAAATAAGCTGCGAAGTGCTGAGACATCTTCTGCTTTAACCAAATATGAAGGACGACCTCTCCAAGATAGCGGTGAAAATCCTGCGCCGCAGCAGCTGAGGCATCTAGTGTTTATATCTATGGTAACACCGGTGTTCAGCCGCAATGATGCTGAGATCTGATGACAGGAATATTTTGTTAGAAACAAGAAACAAAACCACACATCTAAATTGAACAATAAGATCATTTTCACAGCTGATAGTCCGGTAGACTGGGTTCAGTTCAGGACCAATATTCATGACCTTTTGTTACATTTGAGCTGGTGCGTTTGCATTCACACTGCACTGTGCAGTCAAGTCAACCTGTTGAACCAACCTGTTCCCCCGCTCGCCTGTGGGGGCGCTGCACCAAGAACTACTGAAAAAAACGACACAAAAACCTCTGAAGACACGTCTTCTTCTTCTTCTGTAAATAAAAACAAAAACGAAGTGGCATCAAGTTTTAGCAGTTATATTTTGTCATTTTTCAACAATAGACTTAGCATGAGCAGAAGATGAGACAGAAGACCATGGAGAATATTGTTCTTCACACAAGGCAGCTGACGGCTCCATATGAGAGAAATGTGCGTTTGTTTGTCCTGTGGAGCGGGACCCGGTCTGTTTACATTCACACTGTACTGGAACCGTGATGGAGTTCTCTTCTACCAGACCCAGACCTAGGTTTTAGCCCGAGCCAGAGTTCACCTTTTTGTTCCGTGACAGAGTTCGATGGTGCGTTCACACCTCCCTAAACGAACTGGACTTTCTAGGAAAACGAGCTGGAGTTGGATTAAAGCGGCTAAACAGGGCTGGTGTGAACACAGCCCGACAGGTCTTTGAGGACCAGAACTGTTGGTGATTGTAGGTGTTCAAATATTGATTTACAGCAGTAACACACAAACCGTTCAAATACTGATTTTTCTCACTGATCATCTTCATCGTGGTGTTGCCCTGATGATCACATTTAGTTTATAAAGAGAATTAAGAGTTGGGGTCAGGACCATAACTTTTGTACAGAACAACAATTTAAGCAGCTAGCAAGAAGCATCATTGTAAATTTAAATAAAAAAAGAGCCGTTTTGAGTCAACTGATGTTTCTTTAGTGGAAAAAATCTTTGCACCTGAAACTTGCCTAATATTAAAGTAAATACAGACGGACAAATAAATAAATAAATGGTTAACAAATATCCTGTTTATTTTATTGAGCTAATAAAGCAAATTGTCAACATAATGTCTTGGTACCCAAGACAAAATTTTAATATGACAAAAAAAAAAAAATCAATGAGTGCAATATTGTTAATACAGTGAGAGTGAAAGGCACTCTTACTTGCCCCTAAAAGTACAAACAAGACTGAATAATAATGGAGTACATGAGTACTTGTATTTCAACTGATGTAACATTCACAGTGTTGTTGTGTGAAGTCATGTGCAAGTCGTTCAGGGATCTCCCACATCACAAAGGATCACGGTGGCTGACAGAAGTTCGTGAAGGCAGCAGCTCGGTGTGCACGGCTGGCAGCAGACTTTCTCTTCTGGGCCTAACGATAAACAGAACCGTACGTGTATCTAAAGTGAAATAACGGAGACATGAGTGGAAGCAGAACGTTTCATATATTTCCAAATGTGTGGGAAACATGAGGCAGAGAAGTGGAACTGGTCTGCTCAGATAAAAACCTACACAAAACAGTTATTTGTCAAAAACAATAAAAACTAGTAAAAATTAACATTTGAGTTGGGCTTCAGAAGAAAGGCCTGGATTGTGAGCCGTTGTTGAGCAGTAGTGTCCACGATGACGTCTTCCTCTCCTGCCATGTTTCTAAGTTTTATGTTGAATCGTTCTGATTCTGGCAGGGTCACTTGACGAGTATCCCTTGTCAAAGTGTAAACAGTTCCAGCATGAAGACACCTTGAAATTATAAAATCTTTGCTGGGAAAAATGTTAAAAACAATAGAAAAGAGAAAAATGATCCTTAAATGTATTGTTTGTCCATTATTAGGACACAGAGGAGATGGGGTTGAGCGGGGAGCCCATCTGTGTCAGCACTTTGTCCAGCCACTGGAGAGGCCCGTTCAAGTGGACCTCGATCCAGCAGGGGGTGCTGGTGACGTCCTGCCGATGATACTCTGCTCCCCAGCCCTGAAAGGAAAGGACACAGAGCAACAGGGATAAATGAAGACTGCTGTTGTGGCAGCAGTTTAATTTATTTGCGGTGCGCCGCACTAATCTCACCTTGACAAAGCTCATCCTAATGGTACACATCTTGGTGAGCTCGTACACGGCCTCAAAGCCGTGATTGACAGACTGGGCCAGAAGCTGAGCAAATTCCTGGTTATTAAAAATCTTGAGGCTGCATCCACTGGGGATCTTGCACACAGTGGTGGGATGGAAGTTGTGGTGGTAATTACAGTTACGACTCTGGACAAAAATGCTGGTGTCGCTGAGGCACTCTGCATACACCTCTCCTCCCACGTAGTACAGATGCACTCCTGCTTCACACAGAAACGTGAGGGGGAAACATGGACATCAGTAATTCAAGTTGTGTGAATGGATAACAGACCGTAGATAAATGTGGGACATTTTCATCTTAAAATTAGCCGTACCCTTTCCAATGTGTCTGCGGGTGTTCTCAATTGTTGAATTACGGTTGACGTTGGACAAGAGGCCGAGGCAGAAGCGGTTCCTGTTGTTGGAAGGGTCAGTGAAGCCGTCCACGAGCACACTAGTTGAAGAAGCATGGTAGGCTTCTCCCACACGATTGTTGAGTTCATAGTAGACGATGGAGCACCACTGGCTTGGCTCCTCATACTCCACTGCATGCATATCTAGAAACAACACCAACACATGGAATTAGATTGAGTTAAGCTTAGCACACACAACTGCTTACAGGCTCAAACATAAGAATACACATCATCAGGGCTTTTTACCTGAACTGAGCCGATCCAGAGAGAACTGGTCTGAACAGGAATTACTGGGGTTTTTAAAGTTTTTTACATCAAGTGTTCTGGACAGTATGTCCTGCGGAACGAATCGTCACCTATCAAACTGCTGACAACTCATCTTACGGTTAACTAAAGTCCTGAACCTGTACTGCATGGTAAAAACGCATTTCAGACATTTTCAAGTTGGGTTTTGTGTAAAGGTTGTAAATAATATTTGACTTGTGCGTAGCTCTTCAGGTATGGTAGTTCCATTCTGACTGGACTGAAGAACTAATGGCTAGTCTGAGAACAGTCCAGACCCAAGTGGACTGGTGCCGACTTTAATCAACTTCAGTCTCAAATCTTTCATAGCTGTTCATGTTCATGCACTTTTATAAACCCTTGTAGCTATCAAGCATTACATGTTACTTACAAACATTATGGTGATTTTGTTTTTGAATGTCCAGAGGACCAGTTGTAACGGTTTAGATTTTTCTACCTGGATTATTGCTCATGCATGAGGATTATTGTTATTTGCAAACAAAGCAGCAGCTGCAACACGTCACTGCTGCCTGCTCTGATAAAGATCTGTGGAATAGAAAACTGCTGTTGTTGGAAACGTTGAAATAATTGTGTTCGTAGAAAAGTAATGCGGGCAGCACGGTGGAGCTGCTGCCTCTCAGCAAGCAGGTCTCTGGTTCAAATCCCGGTCCGGGGGCCTTTCTAGGTGCAGTTTGCATGTTCTCTCCGTGCATGTGTGGGTTTTCTCCAGGTACTCCAGTTTCCTCCCACAGACCAAAAACATGCATGTTAGGCTGATGGTAACTCTGAATTGTCTCCAGGTGAGAGAGAATGGTTGGATGTCTCCATATGTCCCTGTGATGGACTGGAGATCTGTCCAGGTGTCCCCTGCCCCTCACAGTGAGAGCTGGACATGGGCACCAGTGATGTGGGACCACTTTGATAACTAATGAGCAAATAACAGTTAGTCTGAAAAAACTAGAGTTCACTTGTGCTCACAAGATAAAAATCCAAATAGCATGAAATGTTCAACGAGCAACACGGTAAAGGCGTAGAAAATAGTGTTCACATCAACTACATGTTGGGGACAGCAGCTGTTTGAAGACCACACAAGTCCAGTTTGGTCTTGGGTGCATTTTTACAAACCAATCACTGTTAGTGTTGTGTCATTCATGAACGAATCATTTGAGTGAACGAACTGAATCTCTATTAACTGAGTTGTTGTTTCAGTCGAGCTCAGTGCCACTCGGGGTGGAACTCCCACGTTCGGTGGCTCACTCTTCACATGAATCTCAATGACAGTAGCGTGTGCCATGTGGGGGCTGAAGGACTGACACCTGAGCGAATGTCACTTATGATTCATTCACTGCAAATAAACTGTACAGTGGGTGAACAAACGCTGTCTGATCTGTCCTGAGTGATGCTAACAGTTTCCTGCTCGAGGGGACACGTTTCTCCAAGCTAACAGCTAACACATGAAAATAAATGCACACACCCGTGTCCCAATTATCTTAAATTACGGTGCACATAAAGCAATGAGAGCAGACAGCAGAAGGTGGCTGAGTGTGCGAGTTAACCTGTAGCCACACCATCCTCCAAAGTCGTGACACACTGCGAGTCAAGAGTTGTGTGGACACAACAGCCTTTCTGTTACAGCTGCCATGTTTATACACTGTGTTGTTAATCTGAGCTTTTTAAATTCATTCATAAACCCTTCAAGTTTTATTTCAACCTTTCCTATAGACCGGATACTCTGTGTCCTTAATGGGGCGGCTGTGGCTGAATGGTTAGAGCAGTCCTCCTCCAATGCAAGAGTTGAGGGTTCGAATCCACCAGCTGAAGTGTCCCTGGGCAAGACACTGAACCCCTTGTTGCCTCTGATGTGTGTCCCATCCGTGTATGAATGTGATCTAAAACTCTGATTAGTCTCTTTAGAATGATTTGTCCAATTCCAAAAAAGTTCAATCTGGTCCTCTGGACATTCAAAAAAACAAAAAACAAAAAGCAAAAAAATATAGAAACGTTTCGTCTCTCATCCTGAGGACTTCCTCAGTCTGAGGTGCTGTATTCAGCTCAGTCTCTTAAATAGCACCTTCTCAGAGTGGATCAACCAGTTTTGCTGCTGACAACCAAAACCAGCTGATCACATGCTCAAGAAGGACCATCAGCCTAACAATGGATCATTAGCACCTGATGGCTGTTTACTGTTCACAGAGGGCTGAGTGATACTAGCAATCACAGCATTGTAAGAGGGGGACAGTTGAACCCGGAGGCTCCGCCCCTGTTTAATGATGGACGATTTCTTTTCACAAAGATGGCCTCCTTTACTCCTCTCTCAAACCATCGTTCCTCTCTGTCCAGGATGTGAACATCTTCATCCCTGAAAGAGTGACCTCTGGCCTGGAGATGAGTGTAGACCTCAGAGTCCTGGCCTGATGATGTTGATCTTCTGTGCTGGTCCATCCTTTTGGCCAGTGGCTGTTTAGTTTCCCCGATGTAAGACTGATTACCCTCCTGACACTGAACAACATACACAATATTACTCTGTTTGTGCCGGGGGACTGGATCTTTGGGATGAACCAGTCTTTAATGTATTTTGGGGTTTAAAAGCCACTGGGACGTTAAGTTTAGAAAATAAACATCTCAGTTTCTCTGATACTCCCTCAACATATGTAATGACCACTGGTCTGGGTTCCTCCTTTTCACATGATGGCTGACTGGAGTCCTGTTTGGGTTTCTTCTCTGCTTTCAGGAAGGCCCAGTTAGGATATCCACATTGCTCTAGAGCCTGGCTTGTGTAGGATTTCTCCTTCTGCCTGGCTCCTGAGCTAGTGGGGACGCTGTCTGCTCTGTGATACAGAGTCCTGATGACTCCTAACTTGTGCTCCAAAGGGTGATGGGAGTCAAACTGCAAATACTGGTCTGTGTGGGTGGGTTTGCGGTACACCTCAGTTTGCAAATGTCCTCTATCAGAGACTGAGACCTCACAGTCCAAGAAAGCCAACTTGCCATTTTTTACATCTTCTCGTGTGAACTTGATGTATTTATCCACAGAGTTGATGTGGTCAGTAAAATGTTGGACTTCCTGAGATTTGATTTTAACCCAGGTGTCGTCAACATACCTGAACCAATGACTTGGTGGTGTCCCTGAAAAGGACGTCAAGGCTCTCTTTTCTACCTCCTCCATGTACAGGTTGGCAACAATAGGAGAAACTGGAGACCCCATAGCACACCCATGTTTCTGCCTATAATATTGCTCCCCATATGTGAAGTAGGTTGACTGCAGGCACAGTTTCAAGAGTTGACACAGTTGTTCTGTGGAAAGCGTGGTCCTGCTGCTCAGAGTGGTGTCTGATTTTAATTTTAAACTGACCACCTCTACTGCATCATCAACAGGAATACACGTAAAGAGTGATGTGACATGTGGTCTCCAGCTACAAGTACTTGGGTGTACACATGAATGACAACCTCAGCTGGAGCAACAACACCACCAGCCTGATGAAGAAAGCTCATCAGAGACTCTACTTCCTCAGACGGCTGAGACTAGCTGGTCTGGAAGCTCAGTCCTCACCTCCTTCTACAGGTGTGCAGTGGAGAGCATCTTGTGCTCCAGCATCAACGTGTGGCATGGAGGCTGCACAGCTGCAGAAAGAAAAGCTTTGCAGAGAGTGGTGAAGGCTGCACAGAAGATGTTGGAGTCAGTCTCCCCACCATCACAGACATCTACACCTCCAGATGCAGGAAGAGGGCCACCTGCATCATGAAGGACCACACTCACCCAGCACACACACTTTTTGCCCCACTCCCCTCAGGAAGGAGGTTAAGGAGCATTAAGTGTAGAACCACTAGACTGAGGAACAGCTTCTACCCTGAGGCTGTTAGACTCATGAATCTCTAACTAGAATAATCACTGTGAAAAACCATATCATGTTGCTGCTGATCTGTTTCATGTTGCTGCTGATCTGTTTCAATGTTGATGTGTTCATGCGTGCACATCTGCTCACAGACTCATGTTCATGTTTGTGCTGATGTTCAATGTTTTATGTTATGAGTGCTTAGTGTATATTTAGTTGATGTTTTTCTTAGTTCATATCTTAGATCTTATTACTGTTTTTCTTATACATTTTATTGTTGGATGTAACTGGGACCCTGTGGACATAATTTCGCTCCACCACATGAGGTGCGAATGACAATAAAGAAACTCTGAGTCTGACATCAAAAGAGACCATTGTTTCATCAGTCTCCATGATGACATCCTTCACCTTATCCACAAAGTCCATGGTGTTCTGTATGTGGTGTTCTGAGCTGCCAACTAAAGGGATGAGTACAGACGATTTGTCCAATGATCTTTGTAGAGCTCTAGTTTAGAGCTGTATGAATGGATCAATGAGGCACAGATTGTTGTAAAGAGCTTTGAGTGTCTTGAAATAAGATGGAAAGGAGCTGTGTCAGTACAGTCCATTTACCATTTACTAAAGTCTGAATAATAATAAGAGACTCGTGTTTACTTCCAGCTAACGGGCTGCTTGCTGCTGTACTGTTGTTACTCACGAACATAGAGGGGGGAGTCTGTCAGAGACGACAGGGGAGTGATGTGTTCAATGAACTGCCCATGTGCACACACACTGCCACTGAGGGGTGGTTCATTCACTGGTGCTGCGTCTCTCTCGTGCTGCACGAATAAACTGCACGAACTGAAGAATCCAATCAACGAATCTTTTGAACCAAACATTTTAATGAAATGATTCTAAGGATTCAGTGCACTCGAAAGAACTGCCGTTCCAATCACTAGCACTGGTGCCCATGTCTGTCCAGGACACCCTGGACAGGTCTCCAGTCCATCACAGGGACACAGAGACAAATGAGACAACCATTCACTCTCTCATCTAGGGACAATTTAGAGTTATAAATCAGTCTAACATGCATGTTTTTGGTTTGTGGGAGGAAACTGGACCACCTGGAGAAAAGTCACACATGCAGAGAACATGCAAACTGCACCCAGGAAGGTCCTTGGCCAGAATTTGATCCAGCAACCTTCTCACTGTGCCCCTCAGGACTATTTACATGAACAGTGTCTGCCCTACCATTACAAGCAGGGCCCTGTCAACAGAACCGAACCCCCCTACCCCCAACAACTGACGGTATTGACGTAGTGCTAAGTTAGCGGCGCACAATAGACGCGCTAGCTAAAAAGTTGAAGCGCTCCGATTCCCTCATGCCCCTTTTCCATTAGTAACGGTACAGCACGACTCGACTCAGCACGATTCCAAAGCTTTTCCATTAGGAACTGTAACGATATGTAGAACCGGTCCCTTTTTTCAGAACCCGTGGCTCTGTGGTTCCAACCGGGCCGAGCAGGTACCAAAATGTGACGTCAGAACACCGTCGGTCACCGACTGGTCAGGGGGCGGAGTCACTAGATCTTTCAGAAACTTTTCAAAACACCGATCTGCCATTTGCAATTTTTCTGAACTCGGAGCAGCGGCTGGACCTATTTTAAAGACAACAATGACAACAGCGTGGCCTAATGCCAACTCGGGGCTCGGGATCCCGGCCTTGTGTGCTCTGCAGGCTCCGAGCTCCGCTGGTCACCGCGGAGGATCATACAAGCTGCTGGCTCGCAGAAGACCCCTAAACTAACAAGACAGCTAAAGTGTTAGCTGTCTTGTTAGCCGCTAAGGACCTTATGTTTAGCGATATGATGAAGTGCTGGTTTATTAATGTTGCACTTCCTCTCCGTGTTCCTCTAACAGGCACAGCACGACTAAATGAGCTCTGAACTGTGGTTTGTTTCGAGGAAGGAGACAGGTCTGTTGGAGTTCCCAAAATGTTTTATATCTTCTGCAGGGGTTCAGTTTGTGTGAATGGTAGGACCTTGTTCCAATGTTGCAATATTTTTAAATCTGTTTGACAACATTTGCATGTCATAAGCATCATCACAGGTAACTGGAACCTTTCTCAATTAATTATAGAGCGCAAGAGCTGAAGTTTTTGATGATTACAAACTGCCAGCAAACAGCTCCTATGAGTTAGTGCAAAATTTGTTCATTGCGATTTTGAGAAAATTTCTAATTTTTAATTTCACAGTTTTGTGCTTGAATTAGTCTCCAACAGTCAGCCCCATGAGACACTGCCTTTAGAAGCAGTTTGTTAATTAAAGATTGTCAGACGATGAACAATAAATCAATTAGCACAATGGGTGGGAGTATTGACAAAGTCCATGCTCAATAATCCAGGATTACAACCCTGGAAAAAGAAACTGTCCAGATGACCCGAGTGAAAAATGTTGTGGTGGAAGTATTGTTTGGTGTCGTCACACTGTGAGTGTGTCTCCAGCAGCTGCTTAGCAACATTCTGATCCACTTCCTAACAACATTCAGTTTGAGTAAAGACTGAAACAAGCTGGTCCCAGTCCAGAACCGTGAATTTGACCTTACATAGACAAAAGCACAAAGACGAGAGTTCATCACGTGTTGCTGTACACTTCACCGGGTCTCTTTTAACAAAGTGCTGCATCTATTCAAGCTGTGTGCACGTCTCACCTCTTGGTATGCTTTGTGACACCAGGCTGCTGCTTGTGTCCATGGACTGGCTCTCCGGGCCCAGCTGCTCATCAGGGGGCATGTAAGCTGGGGGTGGGGTGTCAGCTGAGACATGACGACCAGTTAGCAAGGATGAGACCAGTTGCTGCTGCTGCTGGCAAATGATCTCACACACACAAACACTCACATCTCCCTAGACAATCGAGATCTGTACCCCGGAAATGGTGTCAGATGACACACGTTTCACTTCTAGGTCACATGCCAACCCATTCCCGAAAGAGATGAAACATGAGCTGCTGAAGCTCTTATTAATACATACTGGGGACAAATAAACAATGCAGCAAAACTTCACTTGAATCACAACAGAACTATTTCAAGTATTATCTTGCTTATGTGGACAACTGACAAAATCCTGCAGCTACAACCCGTTCAAAACATGTTCTGCTCGACTGCAGCCAGCACGAGTCAGCACATTACTTTTTAGCACACTCAGACTCAAACAACAGTTTTAATAGAACAATGAATTTGGAATGCATTCTTTATTCAATTAGGCAAAAATAATAATCTTTAGTTGATCTGATTTCATTCACTCTTGTTCAGGTGGGCTGCTCGACTGGGTACAAATCAACTTGCTTTGATGTTCTGATGAGAAGCTTTTCCATTTACAATACCTGCATTTAATACTGTATGAAAAGATGATGACACCCATCTTGAGGCTCCAGTAGACTCGGCCATACTTCAGTTCGCGGAGGTCTGCGCGTACCAGATTAGACTCGAAGCTGACACCTGCAGGGCATGTCCGTGCAAAACTCAATTTTTACGACCGCGTACTCGTACTCTGTGTCGCACAATAAACCGCCCGGTGACAGACGCTTTGTAGCGACACCAATGTATTAAATTCTTCATCCCTGATCTGGTTTAACGGCCTTTTCTTTTGTTTTTTTCCAAGAGGTAAGCGATATCTTCCTCCTCTGTTGACTCCACGACTGACATTGTGAGAAATGAAGGAATTTGTCACAAGAGAATTAAACTCGGGTCGGGCATGGCAGGAGGGTCTGGAGATTTCCTGTTGGACTGATCTGATGTGTGGGCTGCAGGGCTGCCCTGTTTTATTTTTATTTTTTAGAACTTTTGATTAACAACATATGAACACGGAACACGCTACGGCTGGAGCTGCCAGCTTTTTTTTTTTTTGCGACCTGTCAATCAATCAGGCGTGTCAGCGAATGACCAATCAGCGACCTCAATTTGTCCTGAAGGTAAACGCCCCTTGCCTGCGGAGCTGCTCTGCAGCCACTCAGGGTGGACGCTTGAGTATGAAGTCTCAACCCTCCGTGGACAGAGCGCGTCAAGTCCACGTGGAAAAAGGTCCGCACGAGTATACTGGAGCCTTTAGAGAAAAACTGTTTTGTTCTTGGACCAGCACCGTTATTAAATGTGTACACAAGACCCATCTGAGACTTGGGGTTGTGAAGGTTTTCTTACTAGCTATACAACAAATACAGAAAAACAATAGTTTGGCATAACTCCCAGGGTCAGGTAGTGTATGATGTACCTGGGAGTTGGAATGGACTGGAGGGCCCCGAGCTGGCAGGAGAGTTGGGATAAGTACCACTGCTGGCTGGAGAAGAAGGATATGGAGAGGTGGGAGAAATGGGGAATGTGCCGCCTCCACCGTTGTTGCCGCCCCCACTGTGAGGTTGTTGAAAGGACTCTGGAAAAGTGGCGTTTAGGGGCATGTGTGGCTCGTTGTGGGTAAGATTGCGAAACTGGACAAGCAAGCTGTGCTGAGGGTTGAACTCGCTGTGCCGCGGGACCAGTACAGGAGGGAGAACTGGACACAACAAAGAGGAATACGACTTTACAAACGACCAAAATGTTTACACTACTAAGATTTAGTGTTACCTTAAAAACTAAAATACAACCATGCCATGTTATGTACCTAAATGTTTTTCGTTCTTGATAAAGTTAGAAGAATAAGCAGTTCTTAATGGACAACATTTTTCAAAAGGCATTGTACAGAAATGTTAGTGTACCTAGCTCCAACACCAACATCATTTAAAGAAAACTATTCACCTAGAAAATGTCAACATTAAAAACATACAAACCAAAACCACAACATTCAAGTCAAAATTAAAATTATATTAAAAAAGTAACCTGAAACGTATAATCAATGGTATTTTAACAATTTATGTAAGTATTTTCAAAAACTGAAAATGTAGATTAAATACACAATAATGCTTAAAATAAATCAGTGATACATTAATGTGCAATGGGTCCCTTAGTTTAGCTGTTCTCAAGAGAAGACCTTTTATAAACTTCACAATTCAAAGGCAATGACTGGGAGCAGGTAATATATTATTTTCCCATTTGAGAGAGAAACCAGTGCTGCAGATTCAACAGTCGGTATTTCCTCTTACCTGTGGCTCAGAAGTGTGAAAGAATTTAATGCAACAAATTATCACCAAGTAAAACAAGGAACAGCTTGAAAAGCATTGGTGTTCAATAACAATTCAAGAGTTTTCCCAAACCATCGAGCACGACACATTAAACCATCCTTCCTAACTGTGATGCTTCAGATTCAGATGTGTGCTGCGTACAAACTGATCAGTCCAGTAAAATTATTTTATACTCCACAAATGGAAAGCAGTGAATGTCCTAAGGAGAGTTAAAGCCTCCAACATTTCTTAGACCACAGTGGTTGTGTGAATTTCATCTTCATCTGTGCCAGAAGGATTCAAAGTTTCCCCCACCTTCACCTTCTCCTGAGTCTTTGTAAAACAAAAGCACCCACCAAGCTTTGGTTAAATGCTGCGACATGCAGTGTCTCCTGACCGACATGTGATCCACAACCTTGAGCCAGTCAATAAAGAGCTGGTCACATCACAGGCTGTCCTGTAGGGGCGTTCTGCAACAGTTCTGAAGAGGTGTGGGAACGAAAGAGCGAGACGAAGGAAAATTTGTGAGGACAACAAGCTGGGCGTTTAGTCTGAGTGCTTTATGCATTTAGTAAGCAGCTCTCCGATGCCACACCCAATCTGGAGTGTCTGGGGAATATAATCTAATAAGACTGAGAGCTAGTGATATTGATTTCCTGTGAAATGGAAGAGGCGGGCTGAAACAGCCTGTGTGATGACAGCCCCATGACCTTTGTGGATTTGTTTACAGCCCTTTAGGACTGAGCTCTAAAAGATGTGCAATGCTCAAAAAATATTTTCTTTTGTATTCGTCTACAATTGTGGGTTTCATCCCAAGACATCCCAGTGTGTTAAGGCATTCAGTTGTGCTTAAGATACACTGGAAAACATTAGTAGCTCCATCTTGATTTTAATAAGAATTGTGATAAAGTTGGCAACAAAAAGGAGGCACATATTGGGAGGTTCGTTAGGCTCTATAAAATCTATTTTATTTTTTCAAAACTCCATTTTTACGTGGCTAGTCTTCCAAATATGGTGTTATAGGTGACCAATTTCTCATGAAAAAATAAAATAGCTTTGTATGGTAATTTAATATTTCAAGAATTCAAGAGTAATACATCCATCCATTATCTTCGCTTGTTCAGACGTCGGGTCGCAGGGGCAGCAGCTTGAGCAGAGAAGCCCAGGCATCTCTTTCCACAGCCACCTCTTCTGGGACGACTCCAAGGTGTTCCCAGGCAAACCGAGACACACAGGTTGTTTTCACACTCGATAGTCCGGTAGACTCGGTTCGGTTGGGGACCAATATTCATGGCATTTTGTTATATTTGAGCTGGTGCGTTTGCATTCACACTGCACTGTGCAGTCGAGCCAACCTGTTGAACCAACCTGTTCCCCCACTCGCCTGTGGGGGCGCTGCACCAAGAACTACTGAAAGAAACAACACAAAAACCTGTGAAGAAGACACTTCGTCTTCTTCTTCTTCTGGAAATAAAAACAAAAACGGAGTGGCATCAACTTTTAGCAGTTTTAGGAGTTATATTTTGTCATTTTTCAACAATGGACTCAGCATGAGCAGAAGATGAGGCAGAAGACCATGGAGAATATTGTTTTTCACACAAGGCAGCTGACGGCTCCATACGAGCTTAGAGAAATGTGTGTTTGTTTGCCCTGTGCTGTACTCCACTTCCTGCTTGTGGAGCAGTGCCCGTTCTGCTTACATTCACACTGTACTCGAACCGCGCTAGTTTTCTTCTACCGGACCGAGACCTAGGTTTTTAGGCGGGCCAGAGTTCGTGTTTTTGTTCCATGACAGAGTTCGATGGCACGTTCACACCTCCCCAAACGAACCGGACTTCCTAGGCAAACGAGCTAGAGTTCGGAACAACATGGCTGGTGTAAATGCACCCATAGTCTCTCCAGCGTGTCCTGGGTCTTCCCTGGGGTCTACTTCCAGTCGGACATGCCCGAAGCACATCCCTAGGGAGGTATCCAAGGAGCATCCTTATCAGATGCTTGAACCACCTCAACTGGCTCCTCTCAATGTGGAGGAGCAGCGGTTCTACTCTTGAGTCTCTCCCGAATAACTGAACTTCTCACCCTATCTCTAAGGGAGAGTCCAGCTACCCTGCGGTGGAAACTCATTTAAACCGACTGTATCCGTGATCTCATTCTTTTGGTCACTACCCAGAGCTCGTGACCATAGGTGAGGGTAGGAACGTAGACCGACCAAAGTTTTGCCTTACAGCTCAGCTCCCTCTTCACCACAATGGACCGGTACAGAGTCCGCAATACTGCAAACGCTGCACCAATCCGTCTGTCAATCTCACGCTCCATTCTTCCCTCACTCGTGAACAAAACCCCGAGATACTTGAACTCCTCCACTTGAGGCAGAACCTCACCCTTGACCTGTAGAGAGCAATCCACCCTTTTCTGGTTGAAGACCATGGCATCAGATTTGGAGGTGCTGATTCTGATCCCAGCCGCTTCATTCACACTCGGCTGCGAACCGCTCCAGTGTGAGCTGAAGATCACAGCATGATAACGCCAACAGGACCACATCATCTGCAAAGAGCAGAGATGGAATCCTGAGGCCAACGAACCAGAAACCCTCCGCCCCCTGGCTGCACTGAGAAATTCTGTCCATAAAAGTTATGAACAGAATCGGTGACAACGGGCATCCCTGGCGGAGTCCAACTCCCACCCTGAAGGGGTCCGACTTACTGTCGGCAGTGCGAACCAAGCCCTCGCACCGCTTGTATAGGGACTGAACAGCCCGTAGCAATGAGCCCCCAATCCCATACTCACGGAGCACCCCCCCAGAGTGTACCCAGAGGAACACTGTCGAATGCCTTCTCCAAATCCACAAAACACATGTAGACAGGATGGGCAAACTCCCATGACCCCTCGAGGACCCTAGTGAGGGTAAAGAGCTGATCCAGTGTTCCACGGCCAGAACGGAACTAGGGCTTTAACAGACTACTCGAGTAATCGACACATAGATTCCTAGGACATCTCAAGTTTTTTAATTTCACGTTGAGTATTCTTAGTGACGTCATTACGTCGCCGTTGCGTCATTGAGTCACGTGTCACGTGATCCGCACCTGGCGCAGGCTACTAGTAGAAGCTAAAAAAATGGATTCCTCCAAGCAGACGGATGGAGCGGAGCAGCCCAGTCTTGACAAACAGGTAGAAATGCATCAATAGTCTGGAAACATTTCACTAAAGATGAACCATCCGGTTCAACTACCGTAAGGAAACAGAAAATGAGTCAACTTCCTGACTGTTTGGAGCTCATTGCGAACTGGTGTTATACCATATTCTGTGAGCACTGTATATTGTGACCGTAGGGGGCGGTGTTGCATGCACTGTTGCAGGTCACAGAATATGGTGCAACACCGGGTCCAATCGACCGAACTAGAAGCAGCTTCCTCTGACCTTGTTTCACAAACAAAAAGCAAAAAATATTAACACTAAACCTATAAAATAATCTATAAATATATTAATCTCTAAAACTAAACTTAATGCGCACCACAGCGGGCGGTGGTGCGGGGTGGTCGTCCGCTCCACTGTTTTTAGTTTCATTTTTGACGTGCTGCATGTTTCTTTCAATTTTGCAGCTTAATAATAATAACTAATAGTTTTGGTTTTCCTGTGACTTATTTGCAGTATGATAAATGGTAGGAGCATAATATACACTCCCAATGTTTTGTTGGTCTTTTTTTTTTTAGCAAATAATAAATTACCTTTTTTTGCGGTTTTATTTATTTATTTATTTTTGCATATTGTGATCCAATGACGTCATCAACTACTCGAGCTCTACTCGAGTTTTATTATGTTGATGTCGAGTTCAAAAATTAAGTAGTCGTTTAACCCCTAGACGGAACCCACATTGTTCCTCCTGGATCTGAGGTTCAACCCAACAATCAGACTCGCCTCTCCAGTACCCTGAATAGACCTTACCAGGGAGGCTAAGAAGAGTAATGCCCCTGTAATTGGAGCACACCCTCTGGTCCCCCTTTTTGAAGAAGGGAACCACTATGGATGAACCGATCCACATTTTTTTAACTTCCGATCCCGATACCTAAATCTGGATGTCGGCTGATACCGATCACGTTCCGATATCATCAATGATTTTATATGATGCTGTAATAATCTCTTCTCAAGTACAATTTGTACAAATATATGCATGAATGTCCAAAAAGGCAACTTGAGGTAAGTTTTATTAATGTTGGATAAGTTTTAAAGTTAGAATTAAATTCTGCTAACACAAAACATGTTTTTTATTTTATTCCTAGCTTTAAAGTGGATATTAAAGTGATTAATTTAATTTAATTATTTTATATACTTTTTAAATAAGGGGCAGATAAGAATTTTTTCTTCTTTCTGCACTCTTTTCATTCAATGTTTTTTCTTT